AGCTGTTCCACACAATTCCCTTGAACCACCTCCCAAGGGGCACTGTGAACCCCCACCCTGCTCTCTGTGGGGCTGTCAGCTGTGCACACCCAAACAGACACACACAATTGGCTTTGAAACTCTTTGGGAAGGGGTTTGCTGCTCTTTATGTGCCTGCTACTCTTCCTCTGCTGCCTGGGACCCCAGGGAGAGCAGCAGAGTGTTCCAAATGGAACAGGGTGCCCAGAGCACCCCTGGATCCCTGGAGGTGTCCAAGGCCAGGCTGGATCGGGCTTGGAGCACCCTGGGATGGTGGAAGGTGTCCCTGGGGGTGGCACTGGATGGGCTGTAAGGTCCCTTCTAACCCAAACCATTCTGTCATTCTGCTGGGCTGGTAAGGAAAGGACTCGCCGGCCAATTCTCTGGAATTCACTAAAGAAGCTTGTCTGGAAAACAATAAACCTTTTGGAAAAAAACTGAAACCTGAATATTTGTTGTGACTGTCCCTCACTGAGGCTGTGTTTGTAAGGATGAAGTATCACTGACAAATCCAACAAGAGCTGCCCCACACCAGCACTTGAAAAACTGACTATTCTGCATTTCAAAGCAGCTTTTAAGCCTCTGGCTTGGTAAAGTGAAGAAACTTTTCCACTGCCCTGTCCACCTTTGCCCGATTCTTTGCTCGTTCCGTTGGTGCCCAGCCCCTCCCGCGGGGCTGTGCCAAGCCTCCCTTTCCATGCCTGAGGTCGAGGGGTGACAGATTTGTGCCAAGCCTCCCTTTCCATGGCTGAGGTCGAGGGGTGACAGATTTGGGCCAAGCCTCCCCTTCATGCCGGAGGTCGAGGGGTTACAGATTTGGGCCAAGCCTCCCCTTCATGGCTGAGGTCGAGGGGTTACAGATTTACAGCTGCCCAGACTTGCTCCAGCCCGGGCAGGAATTCGCTTGGCATAAACGAGGCCTTTGGGTTATTTATCTCAGCCTTTCAGTGAAACAGGAACATGCCCTGATTTTAACAATCGTGCTTCCTGCGCTGGGGGAAGGTGTGGCCGATGGCATTTAAAGGCATTTAAACCGAAACCCGAGCCAAGGCTTCCCCGGCAGGAAGCTGGAAGTGCGGGCAGGACCACGAGGGTTTCCTTCAGCACTCAAAACACCAAGGGCCTCCCTCAGGTCGTTTTATCACCCCCAGCAGCAATGATGATGTGCGCAGGGTGAGATTTGGGGAGTGTCAGACTCCTTTTGTTGTTGCTATTAAGGTCATCGCAGCGTGACGGCAGAAAATTGCACGGGAGACGCTGGAGAAGGGAGGGTGAACCTTCAGGTACAGCCTGGCACAGAAGCAGGGCAAGGCAAAACTTCCTCTGGAAGCTGAGGAATTGCTCCTGATCCTTTTGTGGTGCTGAGGGAACTGTCAAGGACAGCCTGGAGGGTCAAACCCCTCCCTCTCTCCTTAAAAAATGGTATTTTCCCCAAATATCCAGCCCAAAGTATCCCAGCTGCAAGTCCTGAAATCTTGTTAGAATGTTCAGCACTATAAAAACTCCTTATTTATTAATCAGCACTGTAAGCACTCAGGGCCCAGCTGTGAGCAGCCATGGGGTCATTCCCAGTTTTGGAAGATCCCTACCCTGCCATTCCGACTGTGACACTGATCTCCCCTGTCTCACACCTCAGCCATGGATTATTCCCATTTTCCAAGCCTCCTTTCTAGCCCAGGACTTTGCATCCTCATAGGCAGTTCTTACAAAACCAAAGCTCTGCCTCCTACTTTTAAAGTCTGGAAGGAAAAGAAAAAAAGCTAAAAAAAAAACCCAACCCAAACCAGTTTCCGCACATGGAAATGGGCTCCAGTTAAACCAGAAAAGCAGCCTAGATTTTTATAGTGGAATGTCGAAGATGCTCGAACCAGAAAATGCCAAATCCTGCCCAAGAGTGCCAGAAAATGACTTTATGTTTTTAGGCCTCATCACTCAGTTCTGAGGGCTGAAGTTTTCCACTGCCCAAGATTTCTCACAGTTGGTTTCTCACAGCTCTGAGCTCTTCTTGGGAGACTGAGTGCCACCAGCAAGTACCTGGAGCCAGGCAAAGACAGCAACATACCAGGGCTGGTGATTTTCAAAGGAAAGCAAACCATGAAACAAACGCTGCATTTCCCCTGAAAGCAGCCAGAAAGGAGTCATTTGGGATAAATCAAAGTCGGTTTCACCTTCCTGACACACCACAGGCCTGACAAAAGCGGTGTGAGCCGACAGCACCAGTGAACTGCCCTGCTTCTGAGGCTCCCAGCTTTCACCCGGTGTTTCATCTCGCTGTGTCACGTCTGGAGCTCCCTGGATCTCGAGGTGGGCTCTGCCCGCCTGCACAGCCTGGTGCAAACCACCAGGGAGAAGCGGGAAGGCGGAAAATCCGCCCTGGCCCGGCGTGCTGGGGCTCCGGAGAGAACGGGGGTGACTGGAAGCAGCAGAGGCAGCTCCAGCCGCAGCAAAGCCCGGCCTGCTTGGGGGGATGACTCATTTCAGGAGCCTGTGCTCGCTCCCAGTCATTAAGGAAGGAGTTAATCCCTGCAGCTTTGGCCACAAAGTGGATGTGTAAGGCCTGGAGTCCCATGGGCTCGATTGCATAAGAAACCATGTATTGTGGCATTTAGTTGATCATGCACTACTTCTTCTGGTCACATGGAGGCTTGATTTCCCCTTGCATCAGCTACTACAGACTTTTTACATTTCTCACACTGGTGTCTGTTCAGTTCAGCGGGGTCATCCCCTTCACCCCACGGCAGAGCCCCTGCTGCTCACCCAGCCCTGACCCATGGGATCCCACCCCATTTTTTTGTAGGATCCTATCAGAGGAACCGGGCGCTTGTAATTTTTCTCATTTGTGCCTGTGCGTAACAGGTGTCATTTTCAGTGTAGTACAGACAAATCCCAAAATAGCTCAGGCTCTTCAGACGCTGCGAGGAGAAAAAAACCCCGTGGTTACTTCAGCTTTGGTTGTAGTGAAAAACCCAACGCTCGCAGCCGGCTCTGAAGTCAGAATTAAAATGGCAGACGGAGGAGCGGAGCAGGGATCTCTCTGCATTCCGTGTTTCCTGACGGACTGCTCCTCGCTGCTCCGTGTGTGCACATCAACTCCCTCTCAGCGCTGCCTCTCCATCAGCTTCCCCGATTCCCAGGAGCTGCACCTACCACGGATCCTCCTCCACACTTCCCGGTGCTGGCAGAGCTCTGCCTCCCCTGCCGGGTGCCGGGGCTGGCCGGAGGCTCCGGAGTCACTGCAGGGATCTGGGGGGCAGAGGCGAGGAGAGAGCGAGCAGCTGCAAAAGGCTCCTTGCCTGGGGATGATGCCTGCTGTGCTGAAATGCAGAGCTGCCTGTGGACTGTCTTTGTCGGGGATTATTGGATTCTGGTGACTCCAGGAGCGCAGTTATTAGTTCCCCTGCCTACGCCGAGCATTTTGAATCTGTGTGTGTGATAACACTTATTAATGCTGCTCAGATTAAGAAGATCCTGTGGCTTTCCAGCACTTTCAGCACCTTATCTCACGCCATGCATCTGCCCAGCAGCTAAACCACGCTCAGATCAGTGCCTTGTGGCCAGCAGAGCAGGGGCTTGTGGGGCCAGCAGTAGCCTCATGCCCACAAGTCCTGCATCTGATCACAGCAGCAGCTCCTCCTAAGCTGCCTTGTGCTTCAGGGGATCTGCCTGCTCAGGATTTGCAGGACATGGGCCTAAAATATTTCATTTCAGGAAGTCAAGCAGTGGTTCCTGACACCGAAACAGTTAATCAGAAAGCACCAACTCTCCACTGCAACGTGTGTGTGCGTGCACGTGTTTTTGTTTTTTAGAGCCAGCAAGATTTGCTTTGGTTTTTTTAAAGCAGAAAACACCAAAAAAGTTGGCTGTGGTTTCAGCTGCTATCGCTCGAGATTTGTACTGCTGACTACCAATCCTAAAAGAGTTAACCTGTATGCAAGTATGACTCAGAAGCAGAGAAGGAGATGCGAGGCTGAGAGCCGGGGAGGAAGCGCAGGAACAGAGGTGAGGAACAGAATAATTGCCAAAAAAAGGTGCAGAGTCCAGGAGCGACGCTCCCTCCGGTCTGCCTGGCCCTGGCACCGCTGGCACGGGCTCCCTGGAAAGCTGCAGTTCCGCTCTTATAACACAAGGAGCAGGCTGGAGAATTTAGAGCTGCGTCACAGAGCTCAGCGAGAGAGTGAGAGAGCAAGCTCCGTCGATAGGTCTACCAGCAACAGCCCTGCTGCAGCAAGAGGGGAGACAGGCAGCAAGAGAGGCAGAGAGGGCTCCAGGAAGAGAAGTGGCACCAACACCACGGAGCGGGCTCCTGCCACCATCCACTGCCATTTGCACCTCGTACCGGGACTCGCTTGGCGTAGGAGGCTTCGCCCATTGACGATGCTGGAGACCCGGCGCGCTTAATCCCACGGGGAGGGAGAGTGGGCAGACACCGAAAGGGTTAACGGGAAGGAAATTTCTGGAACCTTCTCTTCTGCGGCGCTCCAGAGCGAGCGGAGGGCTGAGGACTGCGCAGATGGTGCACGGGCACGGCTCCTCGGTCCGGTTCGTCTCCCTCACGTACGTACCCTTTGATCAGGATGGGGCTGGAGCTGCAGCTACGTATTTGGATTATTTGCAGGGCGTCCCCTTCCCCCGGCGTCCCTAAGTTCGGATCCCAAAGTGCCTTTATTATTATTTTGGCCGGGTAGGATTGCTCTGTTCTGCGTCAGAGCTGTTTTCTCAATGGAGCGACGGCACAGGTTGTACTAATGTCACTCCTGCCGGCATTGCTGTACTGCAGAGGAGGGTAGTAGTCGTGGGGGAGAGATGACAACTTTGCAAAGACTGCTGTTTTCCCGGTTTGGCTGGGCTTTCTATCCCCCCCCGTGTCCCTGGAGGCTGGCATGTCGGCACGGGGCTGGTGCAGGGGTTAACAGGCGCCCTGCGATTCGGAGCTCGGAGGTTTGTCACTGCGTAGTTCGCAAAGTGGCAAACGGTGACGCAGTGATCATTGCAGGGCACGTCGTCCAGTTTTTAAAAGCACTGGGGACAGGTAGACGGGTGCCTTCCAGACGCTTCCACACCAGCTGAAAGGGGTTAAAGATGAGCCGAGCCGGGAAGCCAGCATTTAGGGATTAAATGTCATCATTTTGGCGTTGGAAAGTTGTTTACCTTGCTCTCTCGGTGTCTCCATGCTGGCAGGCGGCCAGCTCACATGTGATAGTCTTCCCTGGACTGCTGCATCATTAACGAGAGCCAGCGCCGGCTCCCATTGGCCGGGGAGGGCGCAGCGCCGGGGCCGCGCCGCCATTGGGCGCGCCGGGGATGGCAGGTGGAGCGCCCGAGCCCATTGGCCGTGCGCGGGTGTCAGCGGAGCGGGCACGGAGCGGGGCCGCCGTGCCCTCTGACACTGCCCGCTGCTGACACTGCCCGCTGCTGACACTGCCCGCTGCCCGCTCCCTGCTTCTGTTCCCTGCTTCTATTCCCTGCCTGCTCCCTATTCCCCGCCCGCGGGTGTCAGCGGAGCAGGCAGCGAGCGGGGCTGCCTCTGCCCTGTGCTCACTGACACTGCTCACTGCCCACCGCCCACTCACTAATCCCTGCCTGCTCACTGCCCTGCTCTCTATTCCCTGCCCGCGGGTGTCAGCAGAGCAGCATTGGAGTGGGGCTGCCTGTGCCCTCTGACACTGCCTGCTGCCCACTGCCTGCTCCCTGCTTCTATTCCTTGCCTGCTCCCTGCCCTGCTCTCTATTCCCTGCCCACTGGTGTTCAGTGGAGCGGCTGTGAAGCAGGGCTACCTGTGCCCTCTGAGGCTGCCCGCTCTCACTGCCCGCTACGCACTGCCCACTCCCTATTCCCTGCCTGCTCCCTATTCCCTGCTCGCTGCTGTCAGCAGAGCGGGCAAGCAAGCGGGGCTGCCTCTGCCCTCTGCCAGCTTCTATTCCCTGCCCGCGGGTGTCAGCAGAGTGGCATGCAACCAGGGCTGTCGTCTGCCCACTGCCCACTCCCGATTCCCTGCCTGCTCACTGCCTGCTCATGTCAGAGGAGCAGCGCTGAGAGCACTGGGCTCCTGCCCTCTGCCCACTGCCTAATGCCCGGCTCCCTATTCCCTGCCTGCTCCCTGCTCCCTGCCCGTGGGCATCAGCAGAGCGGCCATGTCAGCGCTGGGCTGCCTCTGCAACCTGCACACTGATCCCAGCACTCCGAGTACCAGCAGCTGCCCCTGTCCTATTCCCTGCCTGCTCGTGTTGTTCGCTGTCTGTTCCCCCTGCTCCCTGCCCATTCCTTGGCATGCTCCATGGCTGTTCCCTGCCCAATTGCTGCCCATTCCCTGCCTGCTCCCATCTCCCTTCCCACTCCTGCCCCCTGCCCACTCCCTGCCCGCTCTCGCTCCATGCTCACCTCGGGTCCCGGATGCCAGGCGTCCCTCGGGCAGCAGGCAGGACAGGAGCTGGTCACTGCTGGCTGGGCTGGGTGCAGTCCTTCACCCATGGGTGCTCCCAGGAGATCTCGTTTCGCCGTCCAGTCGTGATGATGACGTGTCAGAGCTGCAGCCCACGGTGCAGGGGAAAGTACTGGGGTTCAGGGCTTTTCTCCTTGGTTTCTTCTCCCTTGTGAGGTGCTGGAGTGTTGGCAGCGCTGTGAACTGCTTGGGGCAGGGACTGCACCTGGAAATTATGTCGTGGGAATAGTGAAAAAAATGAAAATTACTCTTACCGAAACTCAGCTTTTGTTTGCACAAGTGTGAGTGTGCCACAGGCTCGGTAACATCACAGAGAGATGGAGACTGCCCTCAGTGATGGGTCTGTAAAGGTTTGCAAAGGAGTAACAGCATTAGAAAGCGAGGACGGAAGGACTGGGAACTGGTTAAGGATGAATGGGAGACTGAAGGCAGAGAGCAGCTCCAGAGAGAGGATAAGGAAGTGAAGGGGAGAACACTTTTCCCTCTTAACCGTTTACTATACTATTTTTTCACCTCTCTTCTTAAAGCGCCCAGCAATGAAGATGGCAGCTCTGCCTGGAAGTGCTGAGGACACAGCCAGCCTTGAGCTTGGTCCTTCTGGCCGAGGAAGTCTCCCGATTATGCAGTGGAGTGGTAACTTCGCTTTCTCATACAACAGGGGCCATTATTCCATAGCCTTTCATCATTCTAGGCTTACCCAAGTTTCAGGATGTGCTAGCAGGAGTGTTTAATCTCTGTTACTCACTGGCTGACATCTCCAGCGCCAGGGTTGGTTGTTTAGCAACAACCGCTGGGCTCAGCACTGCATGGCAGCCGTCCCCATCGCCTGGGCTGCAGCCTGGCCTCTGCAGGGTGCTCTGGGAGACAGGGAGAGAGGGCAGGGCTGGATTTACACCCTGGATGGAATTTTGGAGGTTTGGGCGTGCAGGCCGCAGGCGCTGCGGATTTTTCGCGACGCCGTCCTTTGCGCAGGGCCGCCATTTCCAACGGCAGTGCGGCGCAGGGACGGGGAGGGAAGAACCGACAGACTGTACGTGCCACTCCCCACTTTCTTTCCCTCTTTCCCATCTCCATCTTTCCTCCTTCCCCTCCTTTCCTGCCAGATTCCATAGGGAATTTCAGCCTCTTACTGCAGTCATCACAACCCCTCCTGACTCACTGAGCCTTCGCTGGCTGTAGCTGGCTCCCTCGGAGCATCCTTGCCTCCCGCAGCGCCAGATCTGCAGAGCAGGGGAACAACAGGAACAGCAGCGACAACGGTGGTCCCTGCAGACAGACAGACAGGCAGAAATACACACACACACAGGAGAACAGTCCCGGGCAGCTGCAGAGGTGTTCTGTACAGCCAGGAGCTGGACTAAGGCATGATACTGGGTTGTGTGGATGATAGGTGGGGTTGAGTGTTTTCTCGAGTGTTGGTTGCATGGACAGCTCTTTGTGGTTTTCCCAATCATGGTTTTGGGGTGGAGAAGCCCTGACTTTGTAAAGCTGGTGCTGTTGTTTCATGGCTTTCAAGGAGGTGCCACTGGCTGCTGAGTGTCTTCAGCACAAGGATGTATTTGGTTTAATTCTTTTCGCCATCATGTTTTGGCCACAGCGATGGTTTAACTGTGCCTAAACGCAGGGAGGGTAAAGAGACGGATATAAGAGGAGTTATTTCAATGTTAAACTCCAGCTGTAAATCTCATTACTCAGGAATTGAGGTTACTGTCAGCAGGTAAATCTGTGGGACTGGCAGGAAACAAGGCTAAGAAGGGGACATGGCATATTTCTGTAGGACAGCAGTGATTATGTGCACAGGGGTGGCACTGTCACCGTGAGCTGTACCTGGGTAACCGTTGCGCGATCATTTTCCGCACAGTGCCGCAAAAGGACTGGGGAAAGCTGTGATTTCTCCCTCCCTCTGACACTTGTGTGTGTGACACTGCATGAGCTGATTCATGTTCCTGTATCTGGGCTTCCCTGCTCTGGGGAGTGGGGTTTGCTCTGCCTCGGCCTTGGTGCAGCATCGTGACGCAGCGTTCGGTACCACGCCGACAAAACACACGCAGTTTTCTCGGGCGTTCTGACCGCTCGGGGACCGCGGGATTCGGGGAAGGAAGGGCAGGATTTCACATGCCCATGGTATAAATTTAAAAGCATTACCTCTTCTTGTGTGCTAGTGAAGGAAGGCTCTGTGAGGGACGAGACAGCCATGATCTCCCCTGCTCTTGTTTTGCCGATGGTCATGTTACATCTGTGACGCAGACGAATTTTGCTGTTGGTTCCTGTCGGTGCTTTAGGGAGTGGAGCTGATGGGGGCACAAGCTTGAATATGATTAGAAATATTCATTTCATACTGATGCTAGAGTTGAAACTACACCTGAAGGGTCAGGGGTATCAGGTCCACCTAGTGACCCCCCAAATGGTGAAGGAATTCAGATGAGCCCCAGCACCCTGGCCATTTTGCTGCTTGCAGAGCAGGCTCGGAGCCTGCAGCTCTGCTGCTGCTGCTGTTCATTTCCATGTTATACAAATACAGCACTGGGCTCTGTGTCAGGAGCTTTCTGATGCTGTGAGAAGCTTAGAGTCTACAAGCAAATGTTTTTCTTTTCTTATTTGGGAACAGTCATTAAAACGTCTAAATGCCAAGTGTTCTACCCTCTCTCCTCTGACAAATCTCTCCCAGACCTATCCAGAAAATTCAGTGCTGCTGCGTAGGATTTTTTAAACTTTGTCATGGTGTTTTCTTACAGTTTAATATGGGTATGGCTGTGGGGGGAGAGTAAGATTTAATTTGGTTAAATATCTGTAATGCTGATGTTAATGGACAAGGATGTAGGCAGGAGATAAGAGTTGTCCATATCCCCTTTATCTCTGTATTTAGACAGTCCCAAGCCCAGGCTGTGAGGAAAAAAGGGAATACTCTATCCCATTCCCACCCACCCAAACAATTTCGGTGCAAAGGCAGCAGGAGACAAGGCCAAGCTGGAATGTCACAAAATGGTTCCACCAGCACTCAGAGATGCCAGTGCCGTTTATCCTGGCACGGCTCCGAGAGCGGCACCGTGAGCTGCCTGCTGCAAGGTCATTCCCCTGACTCATGGTCAGCAACCAGTTGGTTCAGGAACTCCCAATCTACTTCTCTTGCAACTGTGCCCATGCCTGAACCCGGAGGGGAGGCTTGAGAATTAACATTACTGCAGCAGTGGGGGCACTGAGCCCAAAACTGTAGCTCCCAAAAAAAGCCCGTGTCTCTGAAAGATTTTAAAATCCATATCTTTGTTTGTTTGCTAGCTCCAAAAACTTTCCCCTAGTTCCCTCATCCCCTTTTCCCCCAAGACTTCCTCTGGACTGCTGGGAACCAGGAGTGACATGTATTTAAGGGCTGACACTCTGCTCTAGGAAGAAAAACTCTGTGTGCATTTGCATTTCTGTGGCAATCAGGTGGGCTCTGCAGGGCACTGAAACCCTCAGGTGCTTTCAGTTTCAAGTACCTAGCTCAGGAGCTGTCTTGTCCCCTCCCAGGTTTCCCCATTTTTCCCTGGTGTTTCTATTTGCTCATCTCACTCCTATTTTCAGCTGTCTCAGGACAACACCAACCATGGATATGCTCAGGGCTGTCTCAGCCTCCCAGCAGCAGAGCAGTGGTTAATGCCTGTGAGCAAAAGAACTTATTTAGTGCCCAAAGTTCAACCTGGGGACACATTCTGTGCACAGAGAGGGACAGGGGAGCAGAACTCTCCTGCTCCCAGAGCTGCCAGCCCACCTCCTGACCCTGCCCACGATGAGCCTTCGCCTTCCTCATCATCACTGCCTGGTTTCCAAAGGGACAGAACCTGGCTGCCAATCCCGCTGCCAGTGACGGCTCCTCGCCTACAGGGAGGCAGATGTGATGGCTCGTCTGCTAAAAACTGAGCCAACACACTGTGATTCAGCCCTCCAGCTTTCCAAGGAAGAGCTATTTCTGAGTGAGCCTCATCTCTGCAGCTCCCCCCACAAACACTCACGGCGCTCAGGAGCCCAACAGCAGCCACTGGCTTTGCACTTGGATCTCCAGCCCAAATGCTTCTTAAGCACTGACAGTGGCTCCTGGACACACAGAGACATTTCAGGGATGGAATGATGGAAACCCTGATAACAGGATTCTCATGTGCCTGGGGGAGTCAGCCAGGAGTGTTTGGTCAGTGCTTCTCTCCAGCTGTTTTGCCAGGTCCTTGTACTGCAGGCAGTGTTAAACTAAAGGCTTGTTTTCAGCTCTCTGGGTTAAAGGCAGGTTATACTTCAGTGAACAGCTGGCTGGGCTTGTTTCCTTATGCTCCTCCCTGGCACAGGACATTCTTTTGTCTCTAGAATGACACAAAAGAAAAATATGGCTTCTCTTGCCATTACCTGGAGGAGCTGGAGCGGTGGTGTTGGGGGAACACCGTGTTCCTGAACTGACTGTACAAATCACAACAATCATCTCCCTGTGAGAGCTTTCAAGCCCTGCAATCAGTACTTTACATTCCAAACTGATGCTTAGGTACAGGAGTTAGGAATAGAAAATGGCCTTTCTGGTTGCAGCTGCTTAGGTGGATCATTTGTTTGAGTGGAGCCAGTTTTGCAATGTGCCGCTCACTCAGGCTGTGTAGGGCTAAATTTGGTGAGTTTTCTTTCCTACTGCCCTTCCCTGACCTCAGCCATGCAAGTGCAGTGCTCTCCTCGAGTTTGCCCAGTTTCACCTCACTGTTCCCTGTGAATTCTGGAATTCTCCACAGGATCCAGGGGTTCAGCAGTTCCTGTGCCCTCCCAACAGGCTCAGGATTTGCCCAGGAACTCTCCTGAGAGCAAAGCTGGAGGAGAACTGGATGACTCCAGGCAAGTCAAAGCAATTTCAGATGAGCAGGGGGATCACCAGATGGGGAGCTACAGCACTAATATCTAAGCACACCTCTAATGGTCACCATGCTAAAACAGACACTGCAGAGTGCTCTGACAGATTCCCCTTAGCAGGAATTGAAATCAGTGACTCAAACCAAGCAGGCCTGACTGTCCCACTGCTCGGTTAAAAGGGACACAAAGCTGCACAGGCTTTTACCCCCATCCTGTCCCAGGGTTCAGCCTGCCTTGGGGTTTTGGGGGGTTTCAGACACAGAGTATCTGGCTTTTAACTCCATTTGTAAGGCTGCAAGAGTAGGACTGAAGGAATAGGCTACCTTCAATTCAGGATTGTAATGTGGAGCTTTTATTGTGGTCTAATAAAGGAAAGAAATATCTCCCTTATGCTTTAAACTCGTGAAGGAAGTACCTGTTCTTGCTGCCCATACCAGCAGTGGCCTCTCCAGAGCCATCTCCTGGGCACAAATATCACTTTTCCTGAGCAGGGCAGCTCCTGATCTGCCTGCACTCAACCCAGGCCGTGCTCTGCCACACCAAGTGCTCCACACCGAGGACTGGCTCCCAGTGCGAGTCAGAGCACATTTGTCCGCAGCTGACCCACGCAGCACCAGACCTGCACAACAAAGAGATGCAGTTACAGGCTCCCCACGCTGAGGAGGCTTTTTTTGAAACCTTAGAAGTTCACTCATTTCCATTCCCCTTACAGGTCAGCACTCGTCCTGTCACACCCCTTGTCCTGCACCTGGCCCTGGGCTGATTCATTCCTTCACTGGCAGCATGATGCATCAAGCTCAGATTCTCAGCATGTAAAACAGGGATTATTTTCTCCAGGGGAGACCAGAGCCTGATGAGCCACGAGTTTCACCCCATTATGTGAAAATGGAGGAGAAAACGTATGATGCACACTGAGATCTGTTTTGCTTTCTGTAAAAACCCCAGAACTGCCTTTCTATAGAAGGTGCAAGTTGTGAAAAATCAGGTCTGTGACATCCAGGCTTGCCTTGTTCCTGCAGACTGAAGGTCTCAGGATAGAGAGGAAGTTCCCTTTCACAGGGAAGGCAGGGATTCCCTTTTTGTCTTTGTTTCCTATGGAATGTACAAAGCAGTGTGAAGTCCATGAAAGGCTTTGAGTTGTTCCTCTGAAAGAAGCTACAGCACTGCCACTAAAACACCTGAAAAGGAGGGAAACCACAGAATGATATTGTACTTTCCCTGCTATTATTTACTGCAAAGTCCAATCCTATGACAAAGCCAAGCACAGGTGACAGTATTTGCTGCTCTCCACACAGCAGATGTCTGAGACCAGCACTGCTTCATTTCCTTCCCTGTGAGGGCAGGAAGGGCTGGGATGGAATTGCCAGAGAATCTGAGCCTGCCCCACCTCTGGGAGTGTCCAAGGCCAGGCTGGAGCAGCCTGGGACAGTGGGAGGTGTCCCTGCCTGGGCAGGTGAGCTTTAAGGTCCCTTCCAACCAAACCATGCTGTGCTGCTGTTCTCCTGCCCATGTGCACATTGCCAGCAGAGAGCTGTGGATCACAGCATCCTGAACTGCTCCTTTCTCCTGCCCAGACACACTGGGAGCCTTGGAAAGGAGAGCACAGACAGATCCCTTCCCAAATGTGCACCTGCACCTTGCCAAGAAGGGCTGACACCTTCTGGGGAGCTTGTGAAGGCAACAGGACAAACTTCAGGTAGCCTGGAGGAGAGGCAGCAGCATCTTAATTATGCTGAAGTGAAACCTGGTTTTATCAAAACTATAAATAATAAATGAGCCATTGGTCTGCATCTGCTGCATGATATTTCTGGAAAGGCTGGTCTCCTTTGGAGAGGGGAAGATGTGCAGAGGTGTTCAGTCCTTCTAAGTCTCATACTTTGACACAAGTTCCCACTTTCAGCAGCACAAAATTAAGTGACATTTCCTCCAAGTATTTTTCAAAACCCTAATGAAGATTTCCTTGTAATGCTTACTACCGAGGCAAGGAAAAACCAAAGCAAACCTCACTGTGAGCCTGTTTCTCAGAGATGCTGCTGCGATTCTGTGACTCTGCACTCCTGGTGCAGCTTTTCAGGAGTAAATCTCACCTGATAATAGAGGGTGCCTCCTAAATAACTGTGCCACACGGCAGGCACTGGGGAGGGAACCTGCTTTCCACTCGTCTTTCACCCTGTTGCCCCAGATAATGGATTTAGAAACGACAGCAAATACCCAGACAAGGAATCTAGTCCAGTCATTTCCCCTTCCTCCACCCCTCTTTCTTGGAAGGACAAGCTCCTTTCTCTGAGCTTCCCCTCTGCTGCCTGGGAGTGTGCATTAGGATGGAGGCACCAGAGCAGATTTTTGGATGTGGTTACAACAGGAATACACAGAGCTGCCAAAAGCCCAGGGCATCAATAAGTGAAACTGCTGCCTCCAGTTGTGCTTTGTTCCATTTCACATTGGCCTCTACTCCAGCACAGGTCAGACACTTATCCCAGGGTTGATAGCTCCTGAATTATGCATGTGTGGAGCAGTTCAGAGGCTTCTCAACACCCCCTCTATTCCCTCTGCTCTGAGCTGTGGACACTGCAGGTTAAGTGCTCAGTTCCAGGAACCATCAGCCACTCATTTTCACACTCTCCTTCCTCGACAACTTCCACTGAACCATTTACAGTTCAATTTGTGAACGCTCCCTTTTTGCTCTGACCCGCACTCAAAGTACTTTCAATCCAATTTATTTTCATCCTGCCTGCAGAATTTAAAAGTTGTCTCACCAAAATCTGCAAGTCCTGGCTTACTTAAAGCACAGGGACTGCTGATAGAGGAATTTCCATCAGGACACTCACATTTCCTTTCCCTGTCACAAAAAGCACCCGATCTGTCCTGTACTCTCTGATCAGTGAGTGACACAAAGGCAGAACACTCTCTGTCTTGGACAGAATGAGGTTTACAGCCTGGTTTCATCTGCAGTGAAACGGAAAAAGTGTTCCTGAACCACACAAACTTCCCACACTCACCCCATCAGCATCGTGCTCTGCACTAGCAAGAAATAAAACCTTGATCATCACTTGCTGGGAAGAACTTGAGTGCATTCCACCTGGCTAGGGCAGGAAACAGCACTCACTGCCAGGCTGGGGGTTTTCCTCACCACATATTTCATTTCTCCTACACCAGCCTCAACCATCCACAAGATGCCACAAAAAAGTGTATCCATAAAGTAGCTAAGCCCAAGGTAACTGTCTTGCTGTCTAATAAAATTAAATAAATGAATTTTTCTCTAGGTACGGTGGAGATGAAGGATTTTCTCCCTCAGCCTGCAGCCAAGATGTGTCTTCCTCTGGAAGCTGGTTTCACATGGTGGCTTAGATTTTCCCACTTTGTATCTAGCACCATTTGAAATCAGTGTTCTAGGAGCAAGAATTACAGCGTGGGAGGAGACCAAGCACCTGCTCACTTCAGCAACATCCTCTGCTCCTCAAATCAGCCCCTTTTCCAAAGGTGATTTTTTTGCCAGCCGTCCACTTTGTAACATCATCTGATTTCTAGACACTTCTCCAACCACTGTATGCACCCTCCCAAGCCAGGGCCACACCAGCACAGCCTCCTGCTCCTGTACTTCTGCTCAATAAACAATGCATATGAGTTCAAGGTGTCCAGAGTAAAGTGATCCACAAGTTGCATGAAAACCAATGTGCTAGCTCTTGTACTTGACAGGCAGAGTACGTTTGATACCCAAAACTAGGATCAACCTTGAATTTACTGCCTCAGAGCAAAAGGATTTCCACCCTCTGCCTGGGGGCTCCATCACCACAGGATTCTCATTTCATAGCTCTGCAAACACAGAAATTCCCCCCAACTATTTGACCTCAGCAGTCAGACACAGAAGTGCCTTCAGCAATCCCAGACTGGCTTGGGTTGGAAGGCACCTTAAAAATCATCCTGTTCCAACCTCCTGCCATGGGCATCATGAAGATGCCCCACAGCACACACAGAACCCACTCCTTTTTCCAGAATCACTTTTCACACACACAGAACTCACTCCTTTTTCCAGAATCACTTTTCACACACACAGAACCAACTCCTTTTTCCAGAATCACTTCTCAGCACACAGAACCCACTCCTTTTTCCAGAATCATTTTCCAGCACACACAGAACCCACTCCTTTTTCCAGAATCATTTCCTAGTTTGCTGCTGGTCCCTCCCAGCAATATTTCACTTCTCCAGCCCTGCATCCCAACCCAGAATGAAGCTGAACTCTTTGTTTTGCCCTCCCTGCTGCCCAGCGTGTTCCCAGACATGGAAAAGCTGATCCCTGTGTGGATGAAGGTTTGATCAGAGCACTGAGTAGTCATCTCTAAAGAATGCATAGCTGTCATCTCCAAGAGGATCCTTCTCTGAGCCAGGAAAACGTCTCTTACACAGGCTGACCGATTTCTCTTGGTGTTCAGAGTCTCAGTTTTTGTCTAGCACCATTTGAAATCGGTTATGATGTAGGGGGAAAAGCAACAGTAATGGGAAAGTTCCTTCCCTCACCCCCCAGTCACAAACAAACACCATCCAGAGCACCACCTGGCCTCCCCAACACCACTGGCCTGCTGTTCTCTGACCTGGAGTTCCCCCACAGGCTGAACATCCTGCAGGATGAGGACAGTCAGCATCCCCTCAAGTGAGGATGGGATGCTTCCAGACACAGAGAAGCATCTCTTCAAACTTAACTCAGCTTCTTCAACTCAAGCAAGCCAGGGCCTGGGTGTGACAACACAGCCACCCAACCTTCTGCCCACTTGTACTCCATGTGCTGTTTGTTTGCCTTAACCTGTTCTTTACACAGATTTATTTTTTTCCTTCTGAATAAAATTGTGTGCTCTATGCTCCTGGGCTCTGTCTCAGGTAGAGAGATCACCTGGTTCCCTGCTGGACAACACCTAAGTGCTGCAAGTCTCTTCATTTCAGCCCCAGCTCCATTTTCAGCACCCTCAGAAGTATTTGGACTCAGAGAATCAGAATGGTTTGGTTTGGAAGGGACCTTAAAATCATCCAGCTCCAACCCCGCTATGGGCAGGGCTTAATTTATACTGATTTTAATTGTGACACTGAAAACCCACCAACCACAGTCGCTCCACATTATTTAACCCTAAACCACACAACTCTGGACCTGTTTTGTTACTCCCAATGCCCTGTCACCAGTAGATGGCAACAACTCATTTTTATTCCATGCAGCTTTCCCTTAGCAGAGTTCACCTCCCTTTAATTATCAGTTCCAGACTCCAAAGGAAATAATTCATGCAGCACTGAGTTTTAGAAAAACAGCACAGGACTCATGACAATTAGACCCAATTAATTTGTAGTGTTTAAGTCAGATTCACAGAAGCACAGAGCAGAATCCCAGAACAGTTTGGGTTGGAAGGGAGATTAAAGAATATCCCATTCCCAGAACTTTGCTTATCCCCTCAATGCTCACTGCAATCCCAAACTCCACAGTGTGAAGTTGTGCAGCCTGGCATCATTTCCACACAACTCACTCTGAGTATCTCAACCACAAACTGCAATGAAATCCAGCATATGAAGTTATTTTTTCTATTCCACCCTCTGAAAGGCTTCACTCTATCAGCAGCTGACTCCACAGCAGTTCAGTAC